CTCGAACAATCGAATCAGAGACAAAGGAGCACAACATCTGGCTGATGCTTTACGAAAAACCAGGGTGATTCTTATTCTTTCTGTTCATTTGTTTCATAACCCCATCTTCACTTTTCTCACAGACACTCACCGTATTATGTCTGTCGGACAATCAAATCAAAGTTGTTGGGGCACACGATCTAGCTAATGCATTGAGAGATAACATGGTGACCATCATTTTCTCTTTTCATCTCTTTCATATTTCGATCTGCATTTTTTCTCACAGACACTCACTACACTAACTCTGTCGAACAATCAAATTGGAGACAAAGGAGCACAAAATCTGGCTGATGCGTTAAGAAATAACAGGGTGACTCTCATTTTGTTTCTTCATCCCTCTCATATCCTCCTCTTCATGTTTTTCCACAGACACTTACCAAACTAACTCTGTCGAACAATCAAATTGGAGACAAAGGAGCACAACATCTAGTTTATGCATTGAGAAATAACACGGTGATCCTCATTTTCTCTCTTCATCTCTTTCACGTCTCTATCTGCATCTTTGCTCATAGACAATCACCAGATTAAATCGCTTGAATAATGGAATCGGATTCGAATTGGATAGTCTTTTGTGTGAACTGATCGAACGGAATAACCGACGAGCGAAATGATGAAATGGTGGCTGGGAAAACGGTTTGCTGAAAGAACGTCAGCTACAGCTCTGATGCATAAGTTGATTTTTTGTGATTTCTATTTGTTGTGAATGAATTAAAATAATTACGATTTTCAGTACTTTATGCTTAATCATGCACACTAAATAAAAATGTGTCGTGATTTGCGACACATTGTACGACACAAGGACCTCACTGCGACACATTTTCTATTGGTTCTTTTCAAAGAACATGTTTCGATTTTTTTTGTTCAATATAATTCTATTGAATTACTTTTATTCTGAAAACTGTAGCAGATCAGATCGTGGGATCTGTTCTGCCTCGAATTGATCTCATTTGCATCAGACTGCTTCAGTGTAGTTCTTTTTCGATCATGAATCGAGATTGGTATTTTCTCGACAAAAAACTATCGAGAAATAGTTTAGAATAAAAGAATATTTTGAAAACTCATCTTTCTTATGTTCAACCACTTTGTTTATATATAATTATGTCTGCACAATAAAAAGGTGAACGAATAGTTAGCAGACAGAACGCGACAAGGATATGGGTGTGGGTGTATATGAAGAAAACCTTGAGGGTGGGTGTGGGGTGTGGGTGTGACTGTGAGTGTTCTCCTACTCGTAATTCTTACACTCACACCCACACCCTAAAATATTTATTGCACATGAGCACATTACAACGCACAGCAGCAATAGTGCATGGATGCGCGTTTTGTATTCTGACTACATTCAGATGCTATTCAAAGTTGCTTTTAGTGGCATTCAGGCATAATTCTGTTTCAAGTTGTGTTTGTAAACAACTATGTCATCGGGTTTGAGTTACATTTCGAGCCTTTCGTTTCTACAATTTGTCACCTAGTTGTGCTCCTAACAAGTTTACATGAGACAAAACATTGAACTTCATCTTTCAATTAAAGTAAACATTTCTGCTTAACTTTTAATCCCTCGAAGATGGGAATCAAATATATGTGGTTTGGTTCTAAATCACTTTTTAACTAACTTATGAATATCCTTAATGATATTTTTCTGATGCCTTTCAGAACACTGGTTGTGGGCTTTGGTTGTTCTCATTCCCGAAAGTATTTCTTTTCTCTTCCTGGAAGAATGATTCACACCTTCCATGAGAATCTTACCTAGCAGCTTCGTCGAGTTTCATCTTCTCAAAAGCAATCCCATCTCCAAGAGATTATGCTTTTTTCTTGAAATTTAAAATGCTGCGTTTAACGTATATGTTATACCACAGCAAAGTTGATTTTGTGAAAAATAGTGGTGGTGTTGATATATCAGGACATAATATTGTTTCAATACTGTTCTCCAATGAATGATCTGTAAGTGTCAAACCTGATACGCATTCTCATTTATTTCTACTTCACAGCCTACTTGGTCTTCATGAAGTTGCATGGTGGATACAAACTTGATAAAATTTCTGGTTTGCACTTGTTCACTCTTATTTTCTATTTTTGATGCAATGTTAGTCACTGACATTTTAAGTTGCAAATTATTAAGAATAGCCGTATTAAGAATTGCGGGGTGTGGATGTGGGTGCGGGTGTGGGTGTGAGTGATAGTTAGTAGAACTAATACACGCACAACTATATTCACACCCACACCCACCCACACCCACACCCCACACACCCTACAATCATTAATAGCAACTGGTTGAAGTACACATTTATAATGTTCATATAAATGTTCAAGACTTGTACCTGGATGATCAATTATAAATAAAAGTAATGATTCCATCATATGTTGTAAAACAGCAAAATTTATTGAACCATCAGTAGATTTCCAAGGA